ATTATTATTATTATTATTATTATTATTATTATAATAATAATAATAATAATAATAATAATAATAATAATAATAATAATATTCCCCCCCCCCCAGGCCCTGATGTGGGTCAGTGACATGTGCCCGGGTGGGCTAATCCCCAAAAAAATAAATAAATAAATACGGGCCTCTGGGGCAGATGGCGTTGGTATGGTCTCTTTGTTTACCGAATACGTTGTTGTGGATTCCTCCCCTACAAACGCTGTTTGTCGCTGAGTAGCCGACCCTGCAAATTCCCCAGTGTATGCCTCGTGGTCTAGGTCAACCAACGCCGCCTTACATGATGAAGGTCAACTATTAAGCCACGCCTACCTCCGCTATATAAGACCTGACCTCGTGGTGACCTACCTCTCTCTTTCTACCTACAGCCAGTCTTCAAGTAACACCACCTCCTCTGCTCCTGCCTGGCGGCCCTCGCTCCCGCCGGCGAGCATGGCGACCCACATGCTGGTCCTCCTCTGAGCAACCTCACCAACCAGTTCTCTCTACATCATGCTTGTAACCACGCTGCCACTTCCCAGCACCAAGCTGCACTGTACATCCAATACAACATGTATACAGAGAGCACATTATAAGTTTCCTTTCTCCATCCCATCCTGAGTGTGAACCAAACATATCGTACCCCACAAATGGTGACCCCAGGAGATTCGCACTAACACAGGATGGAGGAGAAACCGATCACTCTCCCAGTCTTCAAGCAACATGGAAGACTGGCTTATCCACACAGAGGCAGCTCTCATCGGCTCTACAGCTACTGTCTCTACACCGCGGGTTAGACACCCTAGAGCAGCACTGCTTCTCTAAGCAGACACCAGCTCCTCTTCCTGCCCCAAGCACCACGTCCTACCGACCCCAGCACACCCGTCCTGCCTCAGACGCCCCCCCGGCCCAGCAGTACCCCCTGCCACTGTCCTGGACCCTCCTCTGCTCCTGCCTGGCAGCCCCTGCTCCCGAAGCAGCCCTGCGCCTGAGTGCGGCCCCACGCACCCTTTTTTTTTCCCTCAGGTACTCCCTGCTACTGTCCTGCACCCTGCTGCTGTCGTGGACCCTGCTGCTGTCATGCACCCTCTTCCTGACGCAGCCCCTGCTCCTGACCCAGACCTACACACCCCAACAGGCGCATCTGAGGACTCTGTACCTGCCGCGAGGGAAGCACAACATTCATCGCCTCCACAACCCTCCTTCTCCCTCTCTCCTCCCACAGATCTGTGTATCTAGACAAAGTTGACTCCACTAGCGGCTGGCTCATCCACGCCCTCGCTGTTATGTCTCATATGTGGCATACAACACAGCCGACAACAAGTCTCCTGCACCGCCCGTTCTGCCTCACATGTGCCATGCAACCCTGCAGACAACAAGTCTCCTACACCGCCTGGAGGGAAGGGGGAGTATTGTAGTGGATTCCTCCCCCTATAAACGCTGTTTGTCGCTGAGTAGCCGACCCAGCAAATTCCCGTGTATGCCTCGTGGTCTAGGTCAACCAGCGCCGCCTTACATAGAGGTCAACTATTAAGCCACGCCTACCTCCTCTATATAAGACCTGACCTCGTGGTGACCTACCTCTCTCTTTCTACCTACAGCCAGTCTTCAAGTAACACCACCTCCTCCGCTCCTGCCTGGGGGCCCTCGCTCCCGCCGGCGAGCATGGCGACCCACAAGCTGGTCCACCTCTGAGCATCCTCACCAACCAGCTCTCTCTACATCACGCTTGTAACCACGCTGCCACTTCCCAGCACCAAGCTGCATTGTACATCCAATACAACATGTATACAGAGAGCACATTGTGAGTTTCCTTTCTCCATCCCATCCCGAGTGTGAACCAAACATCTCGTACCCCACAACGTCACCTACTTTGGTTCTGCCTGTGTTCCTATCGGGACACCCAAAGAAACTCGTCCTATTTCCATATTTCATCGATTCCCTCGACAAGAGGAACAGTTGAGTGTATATATAATGCATAATTAAAACTATATGAATGTAGCTAGGATGAATGAAGTTTTGGAAACCACGAAAAGTATAATTTTAGTTCCACAATAAAAAAGAGATCTTTTGATGTGGAATTGCGTCCTGTTTTAATAATATTCACTGGAAAATATTAATGTTATTCATAGAATGTTAAAAAAAAGTACTGGCATTTAAGTAAAATACTATTCGGTGTTATTCGTGTTTTGATTAGCAATTCCTTTTGTAATCTACCATTCACAATTATATACATATACGGTACATAGGCCTAGTGTTCAAAAACGTATTAAAATGTTTTATGTTAATCATTTGCTATGGTGATATTAGATGTACATTGATATAAATTACCGTAATTAATATGAATAAAAAATAATACAATGTCCAGCAATCTATTACCTGTGCTTCCTTCAACTTATATCACTAACTACAATACATAGCACATTTTGAACGATCTACTTGTCGAGAAAACAAAAAAGAAGTTAATGTTTAATAAACTAAGAGAACGTAACAAACATATAATAGAAATAATAATTATTAATAACAGAAGAAGCAGAGGTGGTGTGTGAGATTGACACCCCACCCCCTTGGAGCGAGTGTTCAGCTGGGGCCTTGTCGATAGATGGCGCTGATTCCGGCCTTGCTGCACATGGTTAATTCAATAGCTTTCGTACGAGTTTTCCTATCTTTCATGTACAGTATATAGTCTTAGTATAGTCCCCACCCGTCGCGACCCCCTTGAATTTTAATTTATTTCCAAGATGTCTCCCGTGAGCAATGGCTGTGGTGTAGATTACTTCCAAGCAATTGCAAGATTTCACGTTGAGTGGCGTTGAAATTCCTCCAGGAACACGTTGTTTTGCCAATTGAGATTAAGTGCACGAACTGTAATCAGCTCTGTAGTTATCAAGCTGTACCTTTGGTACTGTGGAAGGACGACCCCCATGACTCCAACTCATAGTCTTCAGAGTCTAATTAAGGTAAGCACTACTGATTACAAAACTTAAAATCCTAAAAATCCATGGATAACCTCAACTCTATTTTACATAGGTTAGGTTCCCCTACCCACAACTTCTTGGATCCCCCCTTTTGATATTCCTGGATCCGCTCGTCTTAGATTTGTCTAACTAAATTATTGATTCCAATAATTAGATTCCTAAGATCCCCGGATGACCGAAACTAAAACTTTACCAAAATTTTAATTGTGCATCTAAATAGCATACAACTTCCGATACTTACACCGTTACCAACGAACTTCAGCATTCAACGAACACAACACTTTCCGGCTTCCATATGCACCGGCACACTTGTAACCTATCTAATTCTCACTTATATTGACCAATTACGTTTTACAACTAATCCGTGAAACAGTACACTTGCTTTTCCTCGATAAAATGCGAGAGTACTCGACCGTACGTAGTCTTGGGTTAGTCAATCGACACTGACTGACACCTGACAACTTGGCTCCAAGATTCACCGTTCTGGTAGAAGTATCCGATTCCGCCGACACTACTTAAAATGTTTTTGTCACATTCCACCCTTTTCCGTAATAAAATGTGCAGTACAGCCGTAATCTATGGCTAGAATACCAGTACTACAGGTAACATAATAATTTAACATTTTGGACACTGATAACGGCTAGTTTTAAGTTTTCGAAACCTCTTGTATGTCGTCATTTACGTTTCAATGTATTGCCCTGTGTTGAAAAAATCATAATTTATTTAGCTCCACTGTCCACCATAAAGCAGTATATATAGAGAGGAAATTCTCAATTTTATTTCACAAAAGTTTATTCATTGTATGAGAAAACAGTCACATGGCAGGAATAATAGTAAAAATTATCATTACATCACGATACAAACAAATTTGCATACAAAAAATATTGTTACCTAGATCTTTTCTTTAATTTGCATAATTTCCATAACGAATAAAAAAACGGCATTACCGTGAAGCAGGTGGACAGAATGTGGGATCTGTAAACGTCTCGGAATACTGGTACAATATTTATTAATAGAGTATATGCTTGTCACTTGTGATGAACGATTACCACGTGTGTTAGATTGAGTATATATATATATATATATATATATATATATATATATATATATATATATATATATATATATATATATATATATATATATATATGTGTGTGTGTGTGTGTGTGTGTGTGTGTGGATCCACACTGAAAACGTGGATAAGATAAATCTTGATAAAATCACATAGGAAAAAGGGAAACAGTAGAGCACCTTAGCTTTCGTCTTTATTCAAGACATCTTCAGAGGCGGCTAAATTGCAAGGACCAAGAAAGGCTTAAGTACACAGGGTGACCTGATTAGATAAGAGGTCAGGTCATAAACATGACATCCACTAATCCGCACACCAACACCACCACACACATAAAGGAGTTTAAAAGAAAGGCGACGTAACTAGTCATGTTAAGTCAGGTAAAAAATATGGGACCAACTAATCATCTTTCCTACATCTAACTCCAAGGTTTTCAAAGCATTTTTAACCTTGGGGCCACTGACAAATAAATTTGTGTAACATCTTATCAATTTTGTACTGACCATCACTGAGGTTTAAAGAATTCAATTCTCTAATCAAACTTGCTTCAACCAGAAGTCTTTCTGTGACACATGACGATTTATACACTTCTGAGCTGTTTTCCCAATCTATGGGATGATTATTGATCCTAACATGAACGAACAGTGCACTGCTTTCAAATGCTGTTCAATATTGTACTTGTGCTGTTTAACTCTGAGTTGCAATGCTTTCCCAGCCTGTCCTACATAATTTCCATTACTCACTTATTGTTACTGGAAGCATATAATGTTTCAGTGCATTATTTACAGTGTTTAAAAAGTTTTTACCACCTATTGGCAGGATCATGTTGCAAAATTATCTTAAATGATGAAAAATTCTTTATAATGTAATGTATTCATTTCTAACATGTTTCCAGACAGTTATTATCTAAAACATACAGTATTACATATTTTTGTTAGTCTTCAGGTTGTAAGTTGCATGCCACCACCTGTGTCATCTGCTGTTATTCTCACAAAAGCTTGTGGAGGAAATAATGCAGCAGCCATCTTTAACTCTGTTGTCGGCAGCTTCCTTGGCCTCTTTTTGACCCCACTGTCTCTAAGGCTATGGGTGGGTGATAAAGTTCTCTAGTAATAGTATGTTAGGGTTAATCCTTATTGAAATTTCCAATGGTATATTTTAGTTTAGTTCATCAAGTTGTATTGGTCTCAAATTGTCATATACCCCTGTACTCTTTATTTTGGTGCATTTGAATTCAGTTATGGCTAATGTATACTATAGTTAACTTGTGCAAAATTAAATTAAACCAAGGATAAATTTATAAGCAAATACTTCCTAGTATTATAAGTTCCAGTCCTAAATCAAATGAGCCCCAGTCTTAATGAGTCCCAGTCCTAATGAATTCATCTCATTGAATCCCATTCCTAATGAGCCCTAGTCCTAATAAGTCCCAATCCTAATGAGCCCTAGTCCTAATAAGCTCCAATCCTAATGGGACCCAGTGCTCCTGGAACCAATCTTAGTACTCAGGTTGGGGCCTACTAGGACTGGGTACTTCATAACCACCATCTTTCAGTTCAGCTCACACTAATATTGTTTTGATTTCCTACAATAGCTTGGTATCTCGGCATCCATCCCTGTCACCAGTACAATAGTGCAGCTCGCTCTTACTGTTCTGGTTCCTCTGACAATTGGTCACTTGATTCGGAGAACTGGATACCACCGAGTTCTCATGCCTCCAGGATCACCTTTAGGAACTCTAGGGCAATGGATGCTGCTCCTCATCATTTATTCAACATTCTGTGACATGTTCAGATCAGCAGAATTAGAGGCAGTTCTTCCTAGGGTGGCATCTGCAGTCCTTATAGGTCAGTAATAACATATCAATTGTTATAAATCAATACTTTATTTTTCAAATCTAGTACAGTCATTCCTCATTTAACATGTTTGATGTGCTCTAGAGAAGTACCCTCTTAAGATTACGGTGGATATTTTGCCGTGACTGGCTAAGTTCCTAGTATTGTTATTTTACCATGAAGCGTGAGTGCACTCGAATTGGCTAATCGTCCATTATTGTACTGCCGAACAACTCAAGAACGATATATGTCCGTGGTGTAGATTGAAAAATGGCGTATGACAGCATGGCGGTGGTACTCCGTGTGGGTGATGAATTTTTTACTTTCAAAGCAGTTGAAGACGCTATTTCTGAGTCCGTAAGGTCACAAAATGTTTCCTATTGGCATTTAATTCTTGTCTTCGACAGCTCAGTCAGAGCATAGTTTGAAAAGGGAATCTTAGGAAATGGAAATGAGTCCGGAGTCTTAGTTTCACTCGTCAAAGTGTACAGTAACGGAGTTCATTGAAATAGTTGGGTGAGTGGAACTCGGAGCTGGGTGAAGGAGGAGTGCAGGACACTGACGCTCCCTGGCATCAGTCCAGCATCTGAAACTCCTCCACGCACTGGTAATGTCCAGCTCCGTGCTATACCTCACCACATTAAGTGATTTTGACTTAGTTAATAGTTTGAATGTGCAAATGATACAGTAACGTAACTGATGTGTTTTAAGTGAAGCATTCTCACGCCCTTAGCGTCCTTTTGAAACGTTGACGTTCACGTCAACAAACTCAGTCCAGCATCTGAAACTCCTCCACCCACAACTTCCTCTCGGCCAATAGCCTTGTAGATTGGGACAACCTCCACACTAGTTTGGGGAGATGGATGAAGGCTAGTAAACTCGGGTAAATTCGTGAACACGAGCCGGTGCAGGCATGCCAGAAGGGCTAATCTCCCAAACAACAGAAATTTGATTCAACTCAGTTGCTGTACATTTAACTATGAAACTCTATATCAATGGTAAGGTGAATTTCTTATGTCTATTTTTATAATCTAATCAGAGATTGAGCTTGCCAAGAAAAAGTGAAATGGATGTCAAATACTCACACTAACAACACTACATTTACAGAATCAGCAAAACTACAAACAAGGAACTATTCATGGGGATCCGTAAGGTCTTGGAGATTTTGAGTTTGACAAGTCTTTCAGGAGATTAATGACTTTCTTAAATAGACAACTGACACTAACTAAACTACAAACATCAGATTCTCTGATGTTTGGGCATCAAAATAGTTAAATGTACAGTTGAATCAAATTTCTGTCATTTGGGAGATTAGCCCTTCTGGCATGCCTGCACCGGCCTGAGTTGTTAGATGCCCGTATATAAACGTTTACACAAGGAAGACTCACACGCCAGTGACTACCTCAAAGCTTCTCCAGGTATGTGAACGATTGTTTCCCGCTGTCATGTAAAGTCAGTTTAACTCAGTTGAATTTTGTGAATATCAGTATTCATGTTTTAACATCGTGAAATGATCATGTGCCAAGTATAATTAAAGTAAAGTAAGTATCGTCTGTATCGTTGCCAGACGTATAGTTATGTGAAGTTGAGTTAGACATTTTAACACGCTTGTGACTTTTCCTCAACGCATCTCCAGGCACAGAGTGGGTGTTAACTGAATACCCAGAATACAGTAATGTTATAGCAAAATTGTATGAAATGAGGAGTTGCTATTCTGCATTCTTCTCAACCTCTGAAACCCATGAATACTCAATTTTGTGTATTGTGTAAAACATGTACCCGTACAGTAATATAATCTAATTGTACTGTACAGTACAGGTATTCAGTACTGTTGCATTTGCTACTTCCTCAGTTAACAGTCCAAAAAGGATCATTTTAGTTTTCAATACTATACTACAATATACTTTTTTCATCCACCTCATTCTTTTCTCTGATCTCTTAAAATTATTCAACCTGTTCGAAAAAAATTCATTTTTCTAATTGCTTTTACCTATTACTTTATATAAATGAAACCATTATTTATTTCATTGTGTGAATAGTAGATATCCCCAGTACATAATATGATTTGTGATAATCACATAATTATTCAGCAATGAAATTGCAAAAGAAAATTTTTAAAAATAGATACGTACAGTGCATTTACCCCAGGTGGGGCGCAAAACTGCCTGCTCTACACGCAGAGGTGTAAAAGTGCGTGGGCCACCAGTGATACTGATGTTTCACAAGGAATCTGTCCACCCACCTTATGTGGCAGACACACACATCAAACACACGCGGCCACATGAGTGTAAATCACCTGGGGTACATGCACATTTGTCGATCTTTGGATCTATTTGACACACCCCCGCAGCCACATGTGTCTGCCACACTGAGACGAAATGAGGTGGACAGATTCCCTGTAAAACATCAGTACCACAGGAGGCCCACTCAATTTTTCACCTTGTGTCGAGCAGGTGATTTCATGCCCCACCTGGCAAACACTCACATTTGTCAAACTTTGGATCTAAAACTGTCTTAGGATTGGCAACCACAGTCTTCCACTGCAAACGTTTTTGGGTTGTTTTTACCAAACCTTCTGGATTTTGCATCTCAAGGAGCCACAGCTTTTACTTTAATTCATCCTTCTCAGTCTCTGCCTATTATGCCTTCATCCTTAATTGTATGGCCATACTATCTGATATTCCATATTCTATAAGTTTCAGGTACAGTATATCTCTTGATGTTTTTGCCAATCATAGTACTACTGTGCTTCTTTGCTTTCCTTTCAATGTAACTTATTAGTAACATTCTCTGGTACCGAATTGTTCTAAGCTGGCTGCACGCTAAGCCTCCTGGCTTTTTAGGTAACAACACAAATATCTATTTTTTTTAAATCACTGGGAAAGTCTCCTTTGACACACTGATCAGAGATAGTGATAGGAGAGATTAAAGTGAGTAAAGAGACTAATCATCAGACATGACAAGGAAATGAGGGGACTTGTTGTTGATGAGGCAAATGACTTTAGTGAAAGTTTAATTAATAATAATTATAGAAAGGAGTCTGGTGCACCACTATACTCATGAGAGCAGTGTTGCATGCTGCTTCCTGGATATCCATGCCCATCACTTTTAGTTCTTCCTTTATGCCATCCTTTTATTTTTTGGGTTTTCACCTCTTTTTTCCCTAATATCTATTTCCAAGTTATATACTGTACTCCTTTTATCAATCTCACTTTCCATTTCCCATTATGTTCATACTGTACCACCTTAGCAAACACTTCATTCATTTTAAATTTCCATTTGACTTCTTGATTCCTTGTTCTCTGCACTATTAGCCCCACGTACGATTCCTGTTGTCAGTGATTTGCTTCCTTTTGCATCCAGAGGCCATGCTTCTCTTCCATTTAGTAATAATAGCTCAAGAAAAATTTATTCAGCACCAAGTTTGCTTCATTTGGAACAATTATCTTAACATTCTTTTGTTGCTTCATCTGTTACTTTCCTCCCCACTACTGCTGTAGTTTATATTTCATCACCCATTGTTCTACTCACTGACACAACCACACCCAGATACCCTGTATACCCTGTATTTGAAGCATCTCACTTCCTCCTTTCTCTCTCCATTCAGGGTCAAATTCATTTCTTGCTCGCTCTCTCTCTCTTTTTGCTACATACAGTCAGTTCTGCTATAACACAATAGTTGTGTTCTTGTAAAATATCGTGTTATAGAAAATCGCGTAATAGAAATAACAGAGCTTATGGAGAAAATAGAGTTAGGTGCAGATTACTACAGTACTCGAAATCGAAAAAAAATTAGTAGTTAGCCTAACACAAAGGATAGCACAGTCTAAATAAATGTTACATTCATATCTAATAATGAAATCATACAGTAAATGTAACACTTTACCTTGAAAAAATATGAATATAACTTGATGGGGGAGAAGGGTGATTTTGAGGTTGATAACATCGAGCTTCTCTTCAAGTGTTATATCCTTTCTTTTACGATCATCACCGGGAATTCGATCACCAGAACGCTTTTTGGAGATATTCTTCTTTACCATATTCAGTTAATCCCACAAAATTGGAGAAATAGTAAGCAAAAATCGCGTTACAGCAAACAAGCGTTCGCGTTATACAAATATCGTTCCTCTATTCATAAATCGCGTTAGAGCAAATTCGCGTTATCAAAACACACGTTATAGCAGAACTCACTGTACAGTATTTTCATCATTTTACTTTTATTCACAAACAGTAACATTGGCGACTTCTTATTGCAAACCAAGGCATTTTTATCTACAAACAACAGCTGACACACCTCCCATTTGTTTCCTGTAGTCTTGTTTACCAGTCTTGTTCTCTCTCCAGTACTCTTTCTTTCACCTTTCTTGCTACTACAATGTATATCCATGAAAATATTAACCATCCTTTGTGACACATCCTGGAAATAAACCTACTGTACTTAGGGAACCAGTTTCCTTCTTCCTGACTTAGACACACCCATCATTCTTCCTGTAAAAATTATGAATGGCATTCAACAAATTCCCATTTGTCTGGCACATTTAAATACCTCAATATTTAGTTGTGATTAATTGTTATGTAGTTGAACATGTATGGTCGTAGCTTTTAAAGGAATTAACTGCCAAGCATTCCAGTACATGTACAGGGTACAGTACTTTTTTCTCATTGTTATTCATTTAAATTTTTTCATATTACTGTAATATCATTTCAGTGCTCTTCATGCAGTGTACTCTTCTGTATGTAACCTGGTGGATATCTCACCGCTGGCTGGTGGGATGGTTTTCCCGGGGTGACACCCTGGCCATCATGTTCTGCTCCACACACAAGTCACTAACTCTGGGTTTGTATATACGTGTACATGTAATCTAAATCTTTTCACTGGATATTTAATTTATATCTATTTTTTTACTAAGGAACTTACTGTTGCCAAGTAAAATAGTATTTGTACTTCAAATATTATAACCAAAGCTAATCATGTTAGAAAAAACTAATTGTTTACAATTATTGTTCACTTTTCCACTAACACATTGTCTCATTCCTTTCTGCAGGTATTTAGTTTTTATCTTCTTTGAATCTGTAGTTAATCATCTCATAGAAAACAGTTTATCATTTTATTCTCTCATAGTAACTCTTAATATTTCTGTACATGATCACTCTCCTCTTTACCATATTAATAACACTCACACTATCCCATTTCCTGTGTACAACTGTCTCTTCCCTTCCCTCAGCTCATAATGCTTTACTTCAATTTAAATCTCACTTCAGTATGAAGTGCAGTTAGTGCAGGCACATAAGGCTCAAATTGAAGGCATTAAGGTGATACAGTACTTATATAGCAAATAGGCTTCATCACAAAACCTTATAGTACAGGTTGTACCTCTCTAGTCCGGCAACCTCGGGACCTGACCGGTGCCGGACCATGGAAATTCACCCTTTTCCTGGATAGATAGTGACTTGTGCTTATGCTTGGAAGCACTAGCACCACTTTCTCTGCTTCATGGTCTCTTTGAAGACGTATTGAAGGGTTAAATGTCGTACAGTAGCTTCTCAAATTTCGCGAGTTTTTTAATCAACGTTTTTTTATTGGAACACACAAAAAACAAAACAATTCAAAATTTTGACGGCGGAAACTCGAATTTCGACGGGTTTGAACGGCTCACCAATGTTCAGACGTGCACAATCGTGTAAACAGCTTCATTTCTCTTATGTACAAAGGATTCATTATTGTTTATTACTGAATGTCTTTTTGAGTGAATTAACGTTTATGTGTGCAAAATGAGCAATACAATTCATTAATAATACATAGAATATTAAAACACACGAGGAGACGAGACGGCTTTGTTTTCGTTGTTTACAAAACCAGTGACTGACTGGTTCTACATATAAAACTGAAGAAAATAAGACCCTGGTTGTAGCTGTAGTAAAATTAATATGGTTGTTTTAAGTAATGTTATTTAATGTTAATAAATGGAACAATAGAAGTAGCTAACGATAATGGTAAAAAAAAAAGAGAGATCGTGTATGTAAGTGCGCACATGTGAAAACATATCGTCATTACTCTACATAAGAATATGAAAGCAACACTTATTTACCGTTCATATATATTTTAATTAATGTTTCTGATTTTTTTTTTACTTAATTAATGTTTGTGTGTGCAAAATGAACAATGCAATTCATTAATACTATGTGGAATATTAAAACACACGAGGAGACGAGACGGCTGCCGGCATTGTTTTCGTTAATGCTTACAAAACCAGTGACTGATATAAAACTGAAGAAAATAAGACCCTGATTGTAGCTGTAGTAAAATTAATGTAAAAAATTTAATATGATTGTTTGAAGTAATGTTATTTAATGTTAATAAATGGAACAATACAGGTAAGTAGCTAACCATTAATGGTAAAGAAAAAAAATGAGACTGCGCGTATGTAAGTGTGCACATGTGAAAACATATCGTCATTACTTGTAGGTAGTAGGTAGCAGGCAGCTACCAAACAGGGAGGTACTACCGCCTGGGAAGATATTGGAAGCATAATGTGTTGTCTAATGGTAGACCCTGCTGCCATATGGCATCACGAATATTGTGACCAAGTCCCAGGTTGCTGATCTGACTTTCTGCCTCATTTACACGCAATTGCAGGGTCTCAATTGTTTCTCTTACTATTGACAACACAACATACTGTTCTTGTAGCGTTTCTCACTATTGATTTTTTTTATTATCATTATTACAGTGTTGTTATTGTTATTGTTATTATTTTATTTTTCCTTTTATTATAAAATTTATTTACTATGACTTACTGTATCATCATCATCATCATCATCATCATCATCATCATCATCATCATCATCATCATCATCATCATCATCATCATCATCATCATCGTCATCATCATCATCATCATCATCATCATCATCATCATCATCATCATCATCATCATCATCGTATAATCATCATCATCATCATCATCATCATCATCATCATCATCATCATCATCATCATCATCATCATCATCATCATCGTCATCATCATCATCATCATCATCATCATCATCATCATCATCATCATCATCATCATCATCATCATCATCATCATCATCATCATCATCATCATCATCATCATCTCATCATCATCATCATCATCATCATCATCATCATCATCATCATCATCATCATCATCATCATCATCTCAATCATCATCATCACCTCAATCATCATCATCATCTCAATCATCATCATCACCTCAATCATCATCATCGTCTCAATCATCATCATCGTCATCATTATCATCATCATTACCATCATCACTATCGCCATCATCATCATCATCATCCTTATCATCATCATCATCAACATCATCCTCATCATCATCATCATCATCATCATCATCATCATCATCCTCATCATCATCAT